GGCTAGATCAAAACTTAAAAGAACACTACGATACTACAAGATGCCTTAAACTTGGTCTGCAAATACCATTCTTGATCAGATTGCAACAACATATAGGATTACATTTTTTGACAATAACACTAATGGTAAGAATTCAGTTCTATGTAAGTGAGTATTATTACTCGCTCCACATTAAGTTCGCGGCACGAATCGATAGGCTAATTAATATATTAATTAATTGAAATTATTAAAAATTGTATAAGAAGTTAAGCTTTTATTAATTATCTCTTTTAATAAATCGTAATAGTCAATGGTCGAGAAATGCACCTCGATTCATACCTATTAATAAACAGATGTATTTATTACTAATATAAGTGGAATATCCTAATAAAAGTCTAGTCAAATTAGATTTTATAAAGGTAACAGTACAAGCGCCACCGTCATATCCCAGTGAGATTATCTACGTTATTAAAAAAAAAAACAGATGATTTCACACTGCAATTGAATAAAGAAATGCAGTTTTATAATATATTAAGGCTAAAATTATTCTAATTTATTAATACTTTTGAATAATCTAAAAATAATAATAACGTCCCACAGCTGAACAATCTCCGCGAAGGCTCTTTGCGTACTACGAGTAGTAGAATTCGTCGTCACTGCAGGTACTTACAAGTCCACTGCTGAACATGCATTTCTCCCAAGAAATGCTGCTACTTGAATCCCATGTCGTCTCAGGTCGTTAATCTAGTCTAGTTGGAGACCGTTCTACACTCTGCTTCATTGCGAGCCTGCATCTTGAGATTATAATATTGTTACGAGCTTGTCCCAATCTCGTTGCCGATTGTCTACAACTTTTGCTAGGTACCTCTCCAATGTCTGATTAAATCGTTCCACCATTCCATCAGATTGCGGGTGATAAGAAGTCGTTCTTGTTTTATGAGTACCCATAACTCGGCAAGTTTCCTGGAATATTTGAGACTCAAAATTCCTTCCTTGATCGCTGTGAATCTCTAAAGGTACTCCAAAACGACAGAAGACTTCATGAACTAGTTTATCTGCAACTGTTGAAGCTTCTTGATTTGGGATGGCGAAGACTTCTGGTCACTTAGTGAAGTAATCCATCGAACCGGCCAATCCTTGACAGCGGCGATTTTCTCTGGATCTGTGCGGATACCTTCTTCCGATACTACAAACCCCAAAAAGTTAACTTGCCGTTGGAATAGTGAACATTTCTTCGGGCTCAACTTGAGGTTGGCACTCTGAATCTTCATGAGCACGCGTTCCAGGTTTTGAAGGTGTTCCTCAAACGTACGGCCTATGATGATGATGTCATCCAAGTAGACCAGACAGGCATCGCCAATTAGCCCGGTAAGTACAAGTTCCATCAGCCTTTCAAACGTTGCTGGAGCATTGCACAAACCAAACGGCATTACTTTAAATTGCCACAGACCCTTTCCCGTCGAAAACGCAGTTTTCTCCTTGTCCTTAGGGTCAATTTCAACTTGCCAGTAGCCACTTTTTAGATCCAGCGTGCTAAACCACTTTACTCCTGTAAGCATGTCCAACGTGTCATCAATTCTTGGCAAGGGATAGCTGTCCTTCTTCGTAACGTCGTTCAGACGGCGGTAGTCAACACAAAACCGCATGCTGCCATCCTTCTTCTTCACCAGCACCACTGGTGAACACCATGGACTAGATGAAGGTTCAATAACACCATCCTTCACCATTCCCTCAATCATGGTTTCCACTTCCTTTTCACGTGCTACCGGCAATCGTCTTGGCCGCTGACGGATAGGCAATTCTTCTCCTGTGTTTATTTTGTGTTGAACTAAGCCAGTCTTTCCTATGTCAGCATCGTTTGATGAGAATACATCGGCGTACTTGAGTAACAACTTCTTCGCCTTGACCAATTCGTTCGGGGAGAGAACACTGCGACAGTCTTCCAAAAGTGTGGTCACTCTCGTTTCTGCATCCTTGCTGGGGGTCCCACTCGATATATAGGCACCGACTACCACTTCCTCACAAGTACCAATCAGTGTGCCTTTTTCTATAATCTGTTCCCGGTCGCAAAGGTTCAGCACACGTACTCCCGAGATGTTAGTGGACCTGACCAAGGTTCGAGCTACTTTCCATGGAAGGTCATTGTTTACCCTTTCCACAAGTACACAACGGTGAGCTTGCCCAGCGTTTCGAGGAAGACTAACCGGAACAATCGTTTCCGATCTCGGCGGAAGAACAATCTTTTTAATGCTGTACACGTTCCCTGGTAACGCACCTTCCATAAAAAGTTCCTCCTGTCCACATTTCAAAACACCTTGCTTAACGTCGATCTCACAACAATTATTCCTCATAAAGTCTAGGCCTAGGATGCAGTCGTCCATTATATCAGCCACGATGACATTATGCAGGTAGATCACGTTGCCTAGCTTCGGAGCGGAATTAAGTGAATTAGTGTGTTTAATTATTAGTGTTTTTAGTTTTAATTTGTGTAAAGTAAATTAAAGTGTTAATTTAGGTAATTTTATCGGCAATTTTTATTGTCACGAACCTCAAGCTCGTAACAATTGGTGTCAGAAGTGGGATAAAATCATGCCGATTTTGCCTAAGGAGGAAACGGAGGGTGTCCGTACCCGAAGTCAACGCCAGCAGGAGACGGACCAACGAAGATTTGGTGGTGCAACGCCGCAGACTTCGGAGGGCCAGCCACCGGCTGCAGGCCCGTCGGTAGCTCCTACATCTGCAGCACCTGACTTAGGTGCTCTGATGGTGATGCTGCAGGAGCTGAAGGGTGGACAGGAGGAACAGGCCCGTCGGTTGGAAGAGCAGATGCTGCTCATGAGGGACCTTCACGCTACCTTCGGGAAGGAGATAAAGGAGGTGAAGGATAGGGTTGCTCAGCATGACAACCGCCTGTCGGAAGCTGAAACCCAAATCGCGAAAGCTGAAAACCGAATCGAGAAAGCTGAAACCCGAATCGACCAAGTAAACAATCGGGTTGACAACGTAATGGCTGACATGAAGAAATCACTGGACGAACTCAAACTTGGAGATGGAGCTACAGCTCCCGTAGTAGCTACAACACCTTCGCTACGTGGGTTCAAGGTGCCACCGTTCGACGGTACCTCTTCCTGGTCAGCCTACAAAATCCAGTTCGAGGCTGTTATGAAGGCGAACGGCTGGAATAAAAGTCAGGCCATGACTGCTCTCACGCTAGGCCTGCGTGACCAGGCCTTAACAGTTCTGGAAGCTCTCGGTGAGGAAGTGACTTATGAGCAACTCCTTGAGGCATTGGAGGCGAGATATGGCGACGCTCACCTGGAACACGTCTTTCGTGCGCAGCTTAAAGATCGTGTGCAGCGCATCAACGAAAACCTGCAGCAGTGGGCTCTAGAAGTGGAGAAGCTGGTGCGAAAAGCATACCGGTCTGTACCTGCGCTCATTGAAGGGAACCTGGTGCAGACATTCATCGACGGCATCCGCGACCTGGAAGTCAGAGCTGCTGTGAGGCTCGGGCACCACGAGACGCTTAAGGACGCCTTGGCCCATGCACTGGAAGTGGAAGCCGTGCGGCAGGATCATCGTTCCCATCGCGTCAGGGAGGTTGCAGCAGCTACAGTTCGCGACCGCAACAAAGGATACAGCCCAAGGTGCTATGGCTGTGGGGAAAAGGGCCATCTTCGATCCAGCTGCCCTAAGCGAACCCTAGAAAGGGAAATTGAACGATCTCAGGAGGGTAGTGCGGCCAACAGCACCGCCCAGCAGCGGCAGGGAAACGAGTAAAAGCCAGAACTGCGGGGCGGGTGCTGGCTGATGTTAAAAGAGCCCCAAGGATCTCGATCTCACAAACCCATGATGGGAACAGCCTAATCATAAGGGGCGAGATCAACGGAATGCCGTGTAAGCTGACCATAGACACTGGAGCCTCTCGTACGGTTGTTAGTTCCCAACTTATAAGTCAGTTCCTTGGGGACTCCGCATACAACCGAGAACGCATTAATTTGGTAACAGCCACCGGTCAGCGTATACCCGTCCGTGGAGAGAAGGAGATGGAGTTGAACTCGGCGACACAAGCGAAGCTTCGGAGCGGAATTAAGTGAATTAGTGTGTTTAATTATTAGTGTTTTTAGTTTTAATTTGTGTAAAGTAAATTAAAGTGTTAATTTAGGTAATTTTATCGGCAATTTTTATTGTCACGAACCTCAAGCTCGTAACAATATGTAACTAATGTTATAGCATTTGTAATACCATATTTAATAATATCGATTATTATTTTTCAAAAAAAAAAGTAAAAATATTTATTTTTATTACTATTGGAACAAATTAACTTCTAAAAAATCGCGAAGAAAAACTTCAAAGAACTAACAAGACCACACATAATAGATCTTATGAAGTCGGTGCTACACTTAATAAAGCCGTAGGAGCATAGCTCCCACATAACTTATGTTTATCTAAACAAACCGTGGCTACTATTTCTCCACAATTTGTCATAGATTATACTCTTAGATACATTTTTGAACGAAGAAAAAAAGAAAAGTGTCAAAAGTCTTATGTCAAACTGACAAACAATAATTTTTCGGTATCGGTATTTGTCGTTAGTTTTTCAGTGCTGTGCAATAAGAATTTGTTTATTTAGAAAATAAGAACAGGTGAGTCGTGGTGTTTTTTAAATATATTATATATTGGAAATGTGACTTTATTAGAGCATACAAATTTTAATGAATAATGTCACAGTCAACTGTCTTTGGCTCTTGGAAATATGTGGGTGATATAAGGCAATGGTCCAGTCGTAGATTCCGTTTTGTCAGTGGTATTCATAATAAATGTTGTTTTTGTCACTTTTCCAGGCTTTATAATGTCAAGAAAAGGCTCCAAGTGAAGAAGGTCTGGGATACAAAGTTGTTTTGAAACTAAATAAAAATGTACCTGCTGGCTCATTAGTTGTGTTTGATAACTTTTTCACTAGCATTCCTCTAATGGAGATTTTATATGAAAGAAATATTTATAGTGTTGGCACAGTGCGAATGACAAGAAAAGGAATGCCAGAAGAAATCACTTCAAAAAAATCTGGGGACAGTGAAGAGATGAAAATGAAGAAAAAAGAACTGATGAAGCTTGCTCCCGGTGAGTTTACTTTTCGCTATGGCTCCCCAGTCGGATGTATAAAATGGCACGATACAAAAGATGTCCATATTATGTCAACTGCAGTAAATCCATCTGAAGTTTCTGTCATCAAGAGAAAGCAAAAAAATGGCAAACTGAAAGACATGTTCTGCCATATTGCAATAACTACATATACTCAACATATGGGCGGAGTTGATAAATTTGATCACTTTCGCAGCTCCTTTCCTATTGGAAGAAAATCGAGAAAAACATGGTTACTTCTATTTTGGTTTATGTTTGAAAGTCCTATCATAAATGCGTACATTCTAACTGCCAAACTAGAAAAAGAGACAACATCCATAGTGATTTAATGATTTCTTATATTTACGCGAATATTGCACATGATTAAAACTACTTTTACGGATTTTATCGCGTTTATTTTTACTTTTTATTTTTTAATTCCCGACGTTTCGGACGCTTTCCAGCACCCATGGTCACAGGGGACTGAGATGACTGACGTCCCGATGTCATTGTTAAACCCGGAGTACCTTCAGCTTTTTTAATTATTGTTTATGGTCCGATCTATGAAAAATGAACTGACTATGTCCTGAGGTCTTGCAGTGGTATGCTTGGGTTTAGTTTTAATTTTATTGATTATAGGATCCCAAGCAGGTGGTAGTACCCAGCCTCCTTCTCTATTGAAATTAGGATGTTTTTTAATTTCAATAGCCTTACGTATCATCCTTGGTAGGAATCGGTGTTCTTTCGCGAGGATTTGTGGTCTATCAAATCTGATGTAATGGTTGGGGCCGTCTAGGATATGATCACAAACTGCAGTTTGTGATCAATAGTCCCCTGTGACCATGGGTGCTGGAAAGCGCCCGAAACGTCGGGAATTAAAAATAAAAAGTAAAAATAAACGCGATAAAATCCGTAAAAGTAGTTTTAATCATATCCATAGTGATTTTCGACTACGTCCCGCAAGAGCACTAATAAATGGGTTTGTAAAATTTTATACATGAAATAGTGTCTAAATTTACTTCATGATACACATTGCAACATTTTACATATTGAAAAATTTACCTTTTCAGATATTCACAAAGAAAACATAAGCCAGACAATTTCATAAAGAAAAAGGGTGGTGTCTTTGGAATACCTGATGAAATTCGGCTCTCAAACCCTGGTCAGCATCACGGTAAAAAGGGCTTATATAGGAGATGCGGTTTTTTCACGAGAGAAAAAGAAGTTAGAACATACTTCGAATGCAAGATATGTCAACTATCACTCTGCTTTGTGCCATGTCGTTCCATACAATAATAAATAATTAAATATTTTTGACAGTAAAATGATTTATTTATTTTTATAATAATGTGACTTTATAGAAGAAAATAAGACACTTAAAAATATTTCAAAATTTCAATCACATTAAAATAATGTCACTCTACTTGGGCAATGGTATAATAACTCCCACATAAATTTCTAAAAAAAAAACAAAAGTAAAAAAAAAAAACAAAAAAAACAAATTATCGACTTTTGGAACTACTAAAAACAACATACGAAAGTTTGCTCACTTCTATAACTATCCTATTTGTGGTGCCTGATTAAGGGTTAATATTTCAATAGATATTTTGTCTTAATACCAACTTTAGAAGTTATAATCATGGAGGAACATTAGTAAAAATAAATAAATTAAATTAAATTATTATTTCCGTTCTAAGTCAGCTTTCACAGAGTGTCTAATCATGATATTAAAAATCAAAGTTTTGTAAATAAATAACTACATTTATTAAATATGTGTATAAACATCAAAATAGTCATAAGTTCATCGGGTATTATTATTTTTTAAAGTTCTCTCCTTTATTAAACTCCACAAGCTTCTCAAACTCGATATCACATTTTGAAAGAAATTGTACGATTTGTTACATCAACTCCCCATTAAGGGAAGATTTATTATCTGAGGTTCACCCTTCTAACTGAAAATATGTCGCATCATTGAAGATTACATTGTTAAGTCGGCGTTTCCAACATACTTTACACAACATAATATACACAACAGTGTAAGTTTATCTTAAAGAATAATAATTTTACTTCAAGGAATTCATTCCCTATTTCTCCACTCTTGTGGATTGGTTTGTCCGTACAAATCTACCCGTTAGGTTGTTTGATGAAAAAAGTATCATTAAAATGACTTCATAATTGTCGTGCACGTAAAACCTACAGTAAAAATAAAAAATCTCCACATTTTTGAAGTCGTTTAAAAGTAATTTTCAAATTAAAATTATTGTATTCTTATTTATATTTCAAAACTCTTTTAATTTTTTTTAACTTACCCTTCTAAGTCTTATTACACTCATGAAAATATGAGTGTATGTCTGAATATTAAAAACTCAAGGTTACAACGACTAAAATATCATCAAAGTAGTAACATTAGAAAATTCAGCTCTATTTTTAACTCTTGGGTGTAAATTTATTTCGGGACCACCGCTGAATTATGTCTTACCTGTTAAATTAAAATCGGTTCAGCCGTTTAGAAGGGGGTTCTATTCGACAATAATGTTTATTAATAAACACAATAATATAGATAATAATATTAGAATAACAATATAAGAGCTTTCTTGTGTCTGGACTTCGGTTACAAACTAGTGATTGTTATGTGTCGTGTAAGAAAAACATTCCATAACCTAATTACACAAAGCTTTGCACTATTGAAATCCTATAAACATAAAAACGCTGCAATATCTTTCAACGTGTTTATTTTGAACTTTGTTTGTTCTTGACGTAATTCATTTTGTTTTATTTCATTTGTTTCTTGAACATACTTATAACCAGTACTGGAAAATGTAACTTTCAACTACTTACTGCGATCATAATTGTTATTTTCCTCTGTCGCCTCTTACGACATTCCCGAAATGAAGTGGGGTAGTGGACTACTTACGCCGACAGTACAAATACAACAGCACAACCTAACTACGAAGACAAAAGATAATTAAACAGGATATTATGTGCATTAGCATCTTCATCGTACTAATACTACATCTAAATGAATTAAAATAGGAAAGCGGTTGCCTAACCATCGCCTGATATATACATGTATATTTATTAAATTTTCGAGCAACATCCGCAAAGGTCTTCCCTTGCTGACAGGTTGGCTTCGGCGGAGAAGTACTCAAGGGTTCAGTCAAGAGCTGAGGTTGTGATGCAATGACGACCGAGGTCGCCCTAGTTTCACGGTCATCAACCCGCTGACAGATGGTATCGCGTAACGGAGTCGCAATCGTCGATAAAATATGACTACTATTACGATTACCGCGTGTTGTATTTACATTTTGTGACGGCGGTAAATTCGCAGATTTTGCAATTATGTTGCGCAACATAGTTACTTCGTTTTTAAGCACTGTTGTGCTCGTATCGTTTCTTCAAATTTGAATCGGAGGTCGGTGACTTCAGGCTTCGGGCTTTTTTTAATAAGGTCATGTTAGTTAAATACCCTTCGGGTACAAAGCAAGGTACCTTACAAAATAAAGCAGATTTATGCTGCTATTTTACGCTGATATTCTACGAGAGCGTAGTTTTGCATGTAGTGGCGGTGTAATAATATCTACTACTAGGCAACAGAGGAAAACAAATCAGGAGATGGGCAGCAGCGTCTGCCCAATAACGACTAAAAACTTCAAAAAAACTGCAGTTGGTAATCTGCTTACCACGCATGGCAACGATGGCAAATATAGAGATTTTAGCCCCCCCCCTCCACGAGGTAATATAGGAGTGAAGCCTATGTTCAGCAGTAGATTTTAACAGGCTGTAACGGTGATTCTATCCCTGTCGAACCGACCCATTAATGCAACAATCATAAAATAGCTGCAGCGTGGCTCTTACACGGTTATAGAAGAATTAAATCTCCACCTTCAGAAGCTGTAAAGCGATAAATTATTATTTTTATTTCTTTCACAAAGTTCATACGCTTTAATATTTTTGAATATCTTGTGTGGACTAAGGAATATCATAAGCTCAAGGTAACAACTAGAATGTCGTCTAAATAGTTTCATTAAATGTTTCATTCTGAGACTTTCCCTTAAAGTATTGGCTAATTACTAAAATAATAATTTTTAATTAATCACCATTAACTAAGATATCGCGTAGCATACATACTAGAAGAACAATTGAATTATGAACCTCTTTTTTAAAATGGCTAAAAGATTAATGGGGAAAGGAAGAATTCGGATATAATGTAGACTTTATTATTTTTTTAATATGATTGTAACAAACATTTTTACGTAATAACAAAAATACTGTTAAAGTTTCAGCAGGTAAATTAAACGCCAAATTCTGAATAGGAGGAAGTTATCAATCGTATGTTGTTTATGTTATCAGTTGCTTATAAAACAAACAAAACGCTTACAACAACATACTCATGAATTCGCAATATTTATTAATCACAATTACGAAATACTGTATAGAAGTTTATAATACCTAGGATATTATCCTTCCGTCATATCTCCTCAGTTTCAAGGCACTTCCCTTGTTGCTTCAGCCAGTATCGGAATCCTCGGCGTTGACATATCGAGTGACGTGCAGTTTTGTCGTCACTTGGAAAAGAAGATCAAATTAGCTTACAAAAAAATTGGCGTGCTCAGTAGAGCGGGATAGTATTTCATGCCGTCCCACCGCCTGCAACTTTACAAGGCCGGCTGCACTGCTTAAATTTGATCGCATCCAGTGCAGAGCAATTCAAACCATTGGAGACCGAGCTTTTCCCGATCGGCTTGACTCATTGGCACTGCGAAGAGTTGTTGCATCTCTTTGCGTGTTTTATCGCCTCTACCAGGGGAAGTGCTCTGAGTAATTGTTCGGGTTAATTCCAGCCACACGATTTTACCATCGCACATCGCGACAAAACTCGCAATAGAGTTCATACCATTTGAACGTTTGACGATCCACCACTGTGCGATTTATAAAAAGTTTTCTTCCTCGCACAACTTCCTTGTGGAATCAACTACCACCAGAGATTTTTCCGAACTGACGTAGGGACCTTCAAGAAAGGAGCCTATTCCTTTTTTAAAATATCGGCAACGCATCTGTGATTCCCCTGGTGTTGCAGTTGTTTAAGGGCGGCGGTAATCATTTACCGTCAGGTGAGCCGTATGCTCGTTTGCCCCTCTCCTATAAAAAAGATTTGATTTAGCATAAAATGCAAAGTTTATTTTTTTATTCATTTCATGGTTAATGGCTGACTGCCGAAAGTCCTTTGAAGAGCTGTTTTAAATAATTATAATTCATTATTGAACAATGTTTGATTTTATATTTAATTTTTCAAAACTGTTATCGCACAATAAGCGATTTCCAAAGAAATCGCTGAGAAATGTCTTATAAA